GGCGTTTGACAGTTCCACACAAGAGACTAGTGCAAAAATTGGAGGACCAGGCAGGGATAACAGGGAAGGCACTGCAATGATTCAGGGAGTACCTGACAGAAAGACAACAGCGGGTCAGTGTACATGGCGAGGCGTCAGAGTGGGCACCTGTGACGAGTGAAGATTCCACAGGGGTCAGTCCTAGGACCGGTATGTGAATGACATAATGGAATGGAGACTCAGAAGTGTCGCTGTTTGCAGATGATGTGAAGCTGATGAGAAGAATTCAATAGGACGGAGGCCAGGCAGAACTACAAAGGAATCTAGGCAAGCTGCAGGCTTGGTCCAGCAACTGGCTCCTGGAGTTCAGCCCTACCAAGTGCAAAGTCATGAAGACTTTGAAAGGGCAAAGAAGACCACAAACAGAGTACAGTCTAGGGGGCCAAAGACTGCAAACCACATTCAAGGAAAAGGACCCTGGGGTGAGTATAACACCGGGCACATCTCCTGAGGGGCACATCAACCAAATAACTGTGGCAGCTTATGGGCGCCTAGCAAACTTAAGAACAGCATTCCGACATCTTAATATTGAATCGTTCAGGACCATATTGGACTATGCCCATATTGGAATATGCAGTTTGGAACCCACACCTAGCCAAGCACGTAAGGAAACTAGAGAAAGTGTAAAGGTTTGCAACTAGACTGGTCCCGGATCTAAGGGGTATGTCCTACGAGGAGAGGTTAAGAGAAATGGACCTGACGACACTGGAGGACAGTATAGAGATAGGGAGGATATGATAAGGACATACAAAATACTAAGACTCAGATGAATCACTGGGATGTTATTAAGTATTTCTTCAGTCACAAAGTTGTGGGGAAGTGGAATAGTCTGGGAAGTGATGTAGTGGAGGCAGGATCAATACACAGCTTTAAGAAGAGGTATGATAAAGTTCATGGATCGGGAAGGGTGACCTAATAGCGGCCAGCTACTAGGTGACTTGATCCCTGCAACCACAACTAGGTGAGTACACACACACACACATCAGGGAAGGGCAAAGACCGCAGACAGAATACAGCCTTGGGGACCAAAGACTCAAGGAAAAGGATCTTGTTGTGAGTATAATACCGAGCACATCTCCTGAGGCGCATCTCAGCCAAATAGCTCCTGCAGCATATGGGAGCCTAGCAAATCTAAAATTAGCATTCCGACATCTTAGTAAGGAATCCTTCGGGACTCTCTACACCGTATACGTTATGCCAATATCCGGGTATTTAGCACAAGTTTGGAACCCACACCTTTCCAAGCACATCAAGAAATTAGAGAAAGTGCAAAGGTTTGCAACAAGACTAGTCCCGTAGCTAAGGGGTATGTCCTACGAGGAGAGGTTAAGGGAAATCAACCTGACAACACTGGAGGACGGAAAGGATAGGGGGACATGATAACGAAATATAAAATACTGAGAGAAATCGACAGGGTGGACAGAGACAGGATGTTCCAGAGATGGGACACAGCAACAAGGGGTCACAATTGGAAGTTGAAGTCTCAGATGAGTCACAGGGGTGTTAAGAAAATTTTTTTCAGTCACAGAGTTGTCAGGAAGTGGAATAGTCTGGAGGGTGAAGTAATGTAGACAGGATCCATACATAGTTTAAGAAGAGGTATGATGATGCTCACGGAGCAGGGAGAGAGTGACCTAATAGCGATCAGCAAAGAGTCGGGGCCAGGAGCTATGAATCGACCCCTGGAACCACAATTAGGTAAGTACACACACATATATTCAAATCGCTACACATTAAGGAGACAGAGTCACTCCTTCTTGGGTCACCTCATGGAGAAGACCCAGGTCGGGACTACGGCGAATCTCTCACACACATCCACTGTCCAGAAAAGTATAACAAGTGGGGCTCAACAAGGATTTGTTTTAGGACCGATACTCTTTTTGGTGTTTTTGACCAACATAGCAGACGAAATAAAGCCAGATGTTAACAAGTTATATGGTATTAGAGAGAAAAGAAATAGCCTTTTACTAAATTGGAACAAACTGCAGGACTGATCCATGCAGGTACTGGAATTAAACTACAGAAAAACAAAATTATGGAAACTGGGAATGGATAACAAGACAACAGACTGACTTCAAACCTGACTTACGGAGATGGACTTATGGCTAAAAATAATGTACATGCACCATAGTGTATACATACATCAGCTGTTCGTCTTCTCTGATGAATACGTCTTTTGCGAACATTAAATTAGCAGCCAAAAATTTCGACAAAGAGTCGTTATTGACTTTACATGACACATGTTGGTGTAGACAGCATCAGCGAGGAACCCACACCTTACCAAGCACACCAAGAAACTGAAGAAAATGCAGTTCAGAAGATTAAACTAAGCGAGAAGACTATAGGAATCTAACCAGGTGAAACAGAGAATAAGATCAGGAAAGAAATGATAATGCTTTGCAAAATAATCAGAGAACTTGATAAGATGAACAGAGAGAAAATAATAAAAAAGTTGAACAGTTGAAAGTTGAAGGCAGAGATGAGCTATAATTATATCAGGAAATATTTCTTCAGCCTCAGTGTTGTCAGAAAATGGAATGACTTATATGAAGTTTTATTTCACCTGTTTATTACCTGCTGACAGTTACCGGCGACAGTCGCTGCAACCCAGTCGTGAATCAGGCTTCCTGGCTGATAAGTTATTTGTCCTAGCAACACTACAGCCCAAATAATCAGGATCTGTCTGCAGGAACCAGTACTAGGCCCTATCCATTTAATGAGTTGTGTTACAGCGTTTCTTTTGCGCCCATGCACCAGCAACGCTATCTTTTCCACAGTCTGCAGATCTTCTTACTCCTGTAAGGAGTAATTTAAATGTGTATGTAGATTTAAAACGTATCCAGTATATTCGAGGCACAGATTATATATCTTTTTTCACCTCAGTTCCAGAGAGTAATACAGGCGTTTCCAGTATTTTATACATGCACACAAAGTTGTCTATAATGTGAAATTAAATTCCTACATAGCTTAAATAATATGCATGAGAGGTGTTGGCTAGTTAAGAGGCAGGACCAGAAGATAAGACTCGACGACTATAAAGACAAAGAACCAAAATTATGACTGAAGAATTAGAGAGCGATATACAACTGACAACGAAATCGTAAATATAACAAACTAATGGACAAGTTAGTAGATAAATAACCAGACCTCTAAGAGACAAAGATCTCAGGAATAATAAATAAAGTAATTTTTCTAGAGTTGCCTCATACAGATTAGAGAAAAAGAAGATGCAGAAATGACATTAATATGTCAGGATATATTATTATAAATACCAAGCAGGAGAAAGGGAAGCAAGAATCACATAAATTTTTGAGTTAATTAATGAGTTAATTATGTATAAGTATAAGAGATTTGTCACTGTGTATCTAAGGTGAAAGTGGCACGTTTTCATGGGGGGGGGGAGTGTAAGCATTACTGGGTAGGTTCTATCGTTGTTTATATGACCACCTTTTCATGTGAAGCACAGTACGTACAAGCGGTGTTTGATTTGAGTGCAGCAGCCAGTTCTGTCATTATATATGTGCTTCTTCAGTATTTGTGTAGTCACAGTTGATTATTGTTCACTGCCTGTATCTTGTTACATATTGATTATGTACCCATATATTTTTGTACCTGAGTTTTAAATAAAATATAAAAAAAAAAAATTGTGAGTAGAGAGAGGTCATTGCGTGGAAAGAGAAAAACAGAAAATAAAGAGCATGGAGAACAAGAAACCGGGAGTAATCAGAACAACGAATTAAAAATAACATAATATCAGAGTCAGAACCGAATCTGTTCCATAGAAATACATGGAGGAAAACTGCAGATCCGGAAATTTTTAAAAACTCTTCATTTACTAAAGGTTACATTAAAAACAACATTCGGTAAAAGTTTCCAGATTTGTATGCTTTCTTTCGAACTGCATAATTTTTTAGTTAGTTATTAAAGTTATAAGAATCCAAAATTACCAGCTTAGAAAAAGAAGCGTTATTACCAAAAAATGGCTTTTTGCAGAAGTGAGTCACCTAAATGAAGAATATGCTTCAGTAGAAGTGAGAGAAGAAAAGATTTTCTTTCCAAATACATAAATATACAACTTTATACTGATATTTAAACCTGGAGAAGTTAAAAAGCATACACTGATTTACATTACCCCCGAAATTCTCGGGTCCTAAAATAATATATATATTCAACCATGATTATGATTGAGACCCATGTTATTCACTCCCAGCCTGATCAGAGTATCAATCTCAGTGTTTTAGTGCACTCGGCTACTGATGCCGCTTAATTAAGACAGGGTTTTCAACCAGCGGAAAATTTTTAGGGTATTTCATAGGAAATTGGGACCACTACTCAACAAACTGTGATGTCCTGTGAACTATGTACAGTCTGTAGGATTGTAGTTTGTTTTTAATTTAATCTGTGACATTTAGTAAAGTTTATTGAAAGTAATAGATTAAATTAAAAGTAAAGATAAATACTTATTATTTGACTTATTGCTCTTTATTCACAGAATTTGGAGCCCATCATGAGTGTCAAAAATAAGAGGGTACGATGATTCATATATTGAATGTGGTTTCACATTCATCATCATCATCATCAGCGGAGAAGAAAGGCCTCAGTATGTTATTTGTAGCTAAGCTTTATTTAATGATTCTATGAAACCAACAAAGTTAAAGCAACATTTGCAAAAAATGTTCATCTTCAACCCAAAGACAAAAGCTTTTTTGAACGTAATGGGAATGATCTCAAAAAGATGAAGCTGGATTCAACAGCGGTATTCTAAGAATATGAACCAAATGGTTATTGAAGCTTACGTCGTAGTACTGGAGATAGCAAAGCAGAAAAAGAACGTACAGTTGGGGAAACTTTGATCAAACTTGCGTTCTCGAAATGGTGGAAATTGTGTTGGGAAACGGACTGGAAAAAAATTTGCAGCAGTTTCACTATCAGACAGTACTGTTCACAGGAGGATCAGCGACATGGTCATTGACAACAAGGATCATGTTATACAGATCAAGTCTGCAGCATTTGGCTTAATTTCAATTCAACTTGATGAGTCGACTAATGCGACATCGTGTTTCCAGATGCTAGTGTTTGCAAGAAATGTTTACTCAGGTTCATCTAAAGATAAGTTTCTCTTTTGTTCTCCTCTTAAAACAACTACCAAAGCCTCAGATATTTTGGAAAATTTTTTTTTATCTTTCTTTCAATCAAAAAATCTTTTTTTGTGATAATGTCTATAGGTGTAAGAGCACCAGCTATGTTGGGGACAAAAGCTATATTTCAAGTTTCTATGAAAAAGCGAGCTCAAAAAGTGAAAGGCATTCATTGTATGATCCAGTGTCAGACACTGGCCTCAAAAACACTTCCACTTCCACCAGGGAAGGTTTTGGGTCAAACAATTCAAATCGTGAATTTCGTGAAAAGAGGACCTCTCAACTCGCGACTTTTTTAAGTAATGTATTGACATGTATACTGGCCATTATTTGTTTCTTTTCCACACAGATGTTCGATAGCTTTGAAGAGGAAATGTAACTGAGCGAGTATCTGAGCTTAGAGATGAGCTGAAATTATTTTTTGAAGTTCAGGGTAAGATGGATTTTTTCTTTGCTCGGCTGGATGAGAAATGGATCATGCACGTTGCCTATTTAGTTGGCATTTTTGAGTAGCTGCATGGAAGGAATACAAACATCATAAAATATGTGTGGCTTTCATGAGCAAGCTGGTAAACCGAAAGAGAAGGGTCAAGATAAAATATGTTGCAATGTTTGAGAAACTGTCTTGTTGTTGGTGGTGAAGGCCAAGTGCTTCCAGAATTTAGAAAAAAAATGCAGCATTTGACAGCACTGGAAAATGGATTCAGCCGCTGTTTTCCTGAGCTCAATGATGAGGAGTTGGATTTAGTGCGAAATCCATTTAAATAGGCAGTCGAAAAGTTTCTGATGATTGTCAAGATGAATTTCTGGAGTTGAAGACTAATTCGGGAACAAGAGATATGTTCGATGAAAAATCAATCACATATTTGTGGTCCTTGATGTGCGATTCCTACCCAAAAGTGGCAGAAAGAGCTATCCACGCACTGCTTCCATTTGTGTTGACATATCTTTGTGAGTTAGGCTTTTCAATTCTGTTGCACACGAAAACGAAGCACCGAAGTAGATTGGAGATTGAAAATGACCTGCGTTGTGACCTGTTAAGCTCTTATCCGCGTATCCAAGAGTTGGCGATGGAAAAAAAAAACAATCAGAGGTTTTTCATTGACCGTAATCGTCATCAGAATAAAATAAATTACAATACCCTGGCATTCTATTGAACTTTGTGTTGACTGAAGTATGTTTCAGTTAAGTAATTAGTTATGAATGAAAACAATGCTTTTATTCAAGTTTTAAAATCCATCTACATTTCCTGTTGCTATTAATTTTTTTAAAACTCCACAACAAAAATAATCCAAGTAAATGTGTATGTACTAATATAGAAAAAAAAAGATTTTTAATATAATAAACATATTTGGAAAGCACTTTATGAGTCAGACAATCTTGGGAAGTGGAGAATATATTCTGACAGTGGTAAAAAGGTTAATTTGGGAAAAAAGGTTGAGAACCACTGCTTTAAGAGGTACCCATCAGCTATTTCACCGTGTTCGTCACTTACAAGCCCCATTAGAATGCTGACACATTGCAAAGACGAACAGTATATTTACAAACATTTATCTCAGCCAGCGTACAAATTCAGACCCACGATATTCACTCCCTGCCTGAGCAGAGCATCAATCTCAGTATTTTAGCTCTCTCGGCTACTGATGCCACATAACTTTGGGTAGACAGCTAACGCTGTAATTTTTTTCCATCTTCCATGAACTATATTGGCTCATTTTGGTGATCAGTTCATGGAAAATCCTTTGTAATTTAACGTTTTTGCCTTAATTTTTAACTACGTTGTTTTTAATATGCATCTAAGATTAAACAAAAAAGTAACGGATATTAGGCATGAATCTGAGCAACTTTCATTGAATTATATTTTCTGATGCAACACATACTTTGCAAACTATTTAGCTTTAAAATTTCCTAGTATGGTGATTAATACCACGTGAAATGTCTTAGAAATTTTACTGTACTATTCTGAATACATAGCTTTCCATATCCATTAACTTTCAGCGATATTTAATTACTATTTTATCAATAATTTAATTACTCCTTTACCTTTAGTTTTATTACCACTTCACCATCATTTTCACCACTTCACCATTAGTTTTATTACCACTTAACCATCAGTTTTATTACCATTTCACCATCAGTTTTATTACCACTTCAACAGTTTTATCGTAAAGTTCCTGGATTATGTGACATGTGAACTGTGTTGTTCCACTCGTTTTGCTGAAGAGTATTGTTTCTGGCTTCTTTGTAAATACTTTAATCTTCTATACACTCTGTCTGCCTCCCTGTCATCTATTAGATTTTCACCCACGACTTTTGTACTTGTGTGTGTGTGTGTGTGTGTGTGTGTGTGTGTGTGTGTGTGTGTGTACACTCACCTAGTTGTTGTACTCGCCTAGTTGTGGTTGCAGGGGTCGAGTCACAGCTCCTGTGTGTGTGTGTGTGTGTGTACTCACCTATTTGTACTCACCTATTTGTGGTTGCAGGGGTCGAGTCCTAGCTCCTGGCCCCGCCTCTTCACCGGTTGCTACTAGGCCCTCTCTCTCCCCGCTCCATGAGCTTTATCAAACCTCGTCTTAAAACTGTGTATGGTTCCTGCCTCCACTACGTCATTTTCTAGGCTATTCCACTGCCTTACAACTCTATGACTGAAGAAATACTTCCTACTATCTCTCTGACTCATTTGTGTCTTCAACTTCCAATTGTGGCCTCTTGTTTCTGTGTCCCCTCCTTGGAACATCCTGTCCTTGTCCACCTTGTCTATTCCACGCAGTATTTTATATGTCGTTATCATGTCTCCCCTGACCCTCCTGTCCTCCAGTGTCGTCAGGCGGATTTCCCTTAATCTTTCTTCATAGGACATTCCCCTTAGCTCTGGAACTAACCTTGTTGCAAACCTTTGTACTTTCTCTAGTTTCTTGACGTGCTTTATCAAGTGCGGGTTCCAAACAGGTGCTGCATACTCCAGTATGGGCCTGACATACACGGTGTACAGTGTCTTGAATGATTCCTTACTAAGGTATCGGAATGCTGTTCTCAGGTTTGCCAGGCGCCCATATGCTGCAGCAGTTATCTGATTGATGTGTGCTTCCGGAGACATGCTCGGTGTTATACTCACCCCAAGATCTTTCTCCTTGAGTGAGGTTTGCAGTCTTTGGCCACCTAGCCTATACTCTGTGGTCTTCTGTGCCCTTCCCCTATCTTCATGACTTTGCATTTGGCAGGATTAAATTCGAGAAGCCATTTGCTGGACCAGGTGTCCAGTCTGTCCAGGTCCAGGTCCAGGTGTGCGTGTGTGTGTGTGTGTGTGTGTGTGTGTGTGTGTGTTTTATACTCGCCTATTTGTGATTGCAGGAGACGATTCATAGCTCCTGGCCCCGCCTCTTCACTGATCGCTACTAAGTCCTCTCTCTCTCCCTGCTACGTGAGCTTTATCAAACCTCGTCTTAAAACTATGTGTGGTTCCTGCCTCCACTACGTCACTTTCCAAACTGTTCCACTTCCTGACAACTCTATGACTGAAGAAATACATCCTAACATCCCTGTGACTCATCTGAGTCTTCAACTTCCAATTGTGACCCCTTGTTTCCATGTCGCATCTGTGTGTGTGTGGTGTGTGTGTGTGTGTGTGTGTGTGTGTGTGGTGGTGTTGTGTGTGTATGTAATTGTTTATATATAACTTCCTTGTGATTATACGAGTTGAGCCATTCTGGTAATATTCTGAAATATATTAATTGATTATAATGCGTGTTTGTAATAGTCTGTTTGCAATATGTAATAAAGTACCTAAACTAAGGTGACCAGCGGTAGATAAGCATACAGCAGTTTACATTCACCTATTTCAAGACGCAATTTTAACAAAAGATAAACATAGGTAACAAAGTCTATGACGTTCTCACCAGTGTGAAAATTTCTATATAGCAATCATTATTAGCGCTTTGTTATTATCGACATATATGCCCGCCTGAATGCAGCCTCTCTTTGCCACTAAATGAAACAATTATGAGGAAAAAAAAATCGTCTTTGTATTAATACTCAGGGAGCAGTTCAGCTGTGTGCTGAACACAGCTGAACTGCTGTGATACAAAAAAGTACATAGATTGCGCTGGAAGGATTGTGTACATTAATCCTGCATGCCAGAGAAGCTTGCGGAAGTTTTGGACTTCAGGGAAATCTGACATGATGAGATATACGTAAAGTTTCTCTTTTTTCTCTCCCCTCCCGAGGAAGGAACTCCAGAGTGAAGACGGCGTTGATTACCTGGTTGTTGCGTTATCGCCGAAATCCTGCTGTCTCGACTGAGCACAAGATATTCATCTTGATTTTCCTTGAGGCGTCGGGTAAGTTAATCTGATTACATCCATTTTGCTTAAGGTTGATTTATAGGTTTTTAGAGAGACTGATCCACGGCAAGGATTCCTGTAACGTATGCTGTGAATGAGAGGAAAATCAACATGATGTGGCATCCATGAAGACAAGAACATTAAAAAATAGTGTTTATGTTTGGAATATAATACAAACGTAGCAAAGACAGCCTTTTAGTAGAATTTTAAAATAATTGTAAGGACGAAATGTCGTCTGCCAAATTTAGCTATGGGTCATGTATTTTGCTTGACAAATTTTTCCTGCTACTCAACTTTCCTAGTTTGCAACCCGATATTCCTAGTTTTCCTGCTACTTGTCATTCCAAGTTTGTTTTCTATTTGTCTGCTGCTCGACATTTCTAGTTTCTCTGTTACTTGACATTCCTACTTTATCTGCTACTCAACATTACTAGTTTATCTGCTACTCAACATAACTAGTTTATCTGCTACTTCGACATTCCTGCTGCTCAATATTCCTAGTTTATCTGCTACTCGACATCCCTAGTTTGTCTGCTAATCGACATTCCTAGTTTGTAAGGCTTTCTCTTTATCTACATTATGTTGGAATGTTAGTGTTTATTTAGGTTTTGCATACATATAAATCTTTTGCAATGGTCTCGACACGGCTGTCTTATTCAGCAACTTGTCGGTAAATTAAACCATCAATAATACGAAACACAGATGCTTTGAGCACTCGAAAAACAAACGTACATGTTTGATATAACCTGAGATAACCCAGCAAACTCAGTTGAACTTATTTCTATTGGTTTTAAAAGTTTATGCTTTCGAGAAGCCTGCTGGTAAGAGAGGATACGGACCGTATACTCTGGGATTGTCTGGGTCATGTGAGGTTGCAAACCCTTGATCACCTCTGCCATTGCATGGGCGAGACGCTCGTAAAAGCAAGACTTCCTGGGGGTAACTCAGGTACATGATTAGATTAAAAAGTTTAAAGCTGAACAACTTTTTTTCCGGCTTTCTGACACGTGACCAGGTTCCTGGCAATACTCACAACAATAGCTAGCAGGAGCTGGTAGTGGTGGAAGCAGAGTTGAACTAGATAACCCTGCCTTCCCCTTCTCTACTCCTCTATACTATAAATCAGACAATATATTACGAGAAAGAGAGAGAGAGAGGGGGGGGGGAAGGGAGGTAATCACAACACAATAAAACAATTCAACAAACAATTTTAATCATCAGCTAAAGCGCTCTGGGTCTATAGATTAATATACGAATGAAACTACTGTCTTCTTTTTTCAACAAACCAGCAGTACCCCACCGAGGTAGGGTGGCCCAAGAAGAAAAACAAAAGTTTCTCTTTTTAAATTTAGTAATATGTACAGGAGAAGGGGTTACTAGCCCCTTGCTCCCGGCATTTTATTCGCCTCTTACGACACGCATGGCTAGCGGAGGAAGGATTCTGTTCTACTTCTTCCATAATATATATATATATATATATATATATATATATATATATATATATATATATATATATATATATATATTATATATATATATACAGAAAAACTGTCGAAATAGAGACACCCTAAATAACGGTACACTCATGCTAACGGCACATTCAAACTGGCGCCAATTATACAGCGCCTTTTTGCGCGGTGGCAGAACTCGGCGACACACAAGAATATTTACAGCCAGTATTTTGAAAGTGAACTCTGTACTGATAGCATACTTTATTTAACTTTTACTGTATATGTAATTAATCAGAACAAGTTAATAACTCACAGAATTGTCTCCTAAACTTGTAAATGAAGTGAAGAAAACACGAACATCAAAACTTAGTGACAAACCTGATATAATAAAGAAACAAGATCGGGGCCTAAGTGTCAATGACAAAACATAACATTGATCGTCCACATCATATGTTAAACAATCAAAACAAAAACTTTTTAAACATCGGAAAAATCGAAATAGCGGCACCTTTAAATAATCTCCAAGCATGATATTAAAATCACAGTTTCAAAACTACCAAAAAATACCTATCCCTTGTGCCTAAATGGGATCTACTATTTTAGGAATGAGTAAATAAATACACTTCGGTAGTGGAATATCTCTGTTATTTGAAAAAATAAATAATTAATGGCTCATCCACAAAAGAGTAAATTAATGACTTAGTATGTAGCCAAAACACATTAATTAACGAGTGAGAGTAATCTCACACATCATGTTAACACACCACAGACAAAAATAATAAGTGAAGTTTATAAAGCCACTGACAGCCATCTACAATTTAGAACTAATTTGGCTAAACCTTAATGTAATTATTTCACCCCCCCCCCAAAAAAAAAAAAATTAATTAATTTGGAAGCCGGATATTCCAGTAAATCCCAGAGTATCTCCACCTGCCTCAGTGTTTCAGTACCTTCACCATAGGAAGCCACGCACACACTTGGTCTGCTTATCTAAACTCGGGAAATCTCCTGAGCCGGGAGTCAGCCAATATAGTCTGCATGACTCTCCTTAATATTAAGTTCTGTTGAGACTGTAATATGATCTTTGTTGCTAGGAAGTCTCCCTGCCACACTTGCTCTCGAAGCATAAGCCCACTACCTGGCTTACATTATATCATGACACTGAAAAATAATGAATTTGAGATTTCTATAAATGGAAGCATTAAAGTTACGTTTAGCAAGCTGAATCTGAATCTCAAGTCAGAATTAACCCATCACGTAAAATAATGCCAAAACATTTACATGTATAAACCTGAATACACCTCTGAGAAAATCCTTGCGGCTGTCTGCTAACATACATAAACAAATCCCACGCATCATGTCTGCTTGTCAGGAAGAGTCAAGAGAGCTTTTGTGCTCTTGCCTTCCCAGTGTTGAGACATATACAAAAGGTTTCTATTCAGTGTGTACACTGGTGTTTATATTACTTAAATTGCGTTTCTCTGCCACATACACACAACAATATTTACATTCGACCTCCTTTGCTCTGTTGTACGAAATCTCTATTTCAGATTAACATGAACAGACGAGGATGTCTGAACTGTGCAGACGGCTTTCGCTATATATGTGGCAAACAAAAATAATCATAACATACCGCATAAAGATTGCCTACAAGCACTATTTGGTTGCAAGATAGGTGATCAAGACAGAACATGGGCTCCAGGCACATGCTGTTTGTAACTCTGGACTAACACAGTGAATGAATGGAAAATTTACGTTAAAGCCATTTGTAGTCCCACTGGTGTGGCGAGAGCCAAGGAATCGCCTTAATGACTTATTTCCCAATGGTTAATGAAAACAAGATAACATATCCAGAGTGTGAGTGATCTTTAAACCCTGTGCCACACAGCGAGGACATTCCTCTACTTGATACAGTTCTTGGTTATGACACTGAACGTGATTTTAGTAAAGAAACTGTTAACACTGATCTCTGTGAACCACCAGAATCTGAGATTTCTAAACAACCTCATTTAATCATTGTACAGGAGTTAAATGACCTTATCAAGATCCTTTACCTATCAAAGAAGGCAAGACTGCTTGGATTGCTCTTACAAGAGTGGAACCTTTGTACAGAAGGAATAAAAATATCTCATTTTCGTGCACGACATACTAATTTGGCGGCATTCTATCAAATGGAGAAAGATGTATTTCTGCACTAATTTGAACGATCTTATAAAGGAATTGGGTTATGGATGTATGGATGATGTATAGAGAATATTCATCGGTTCTAAGGTCAGTTTGAAAGCAATGCGCCTTCACGACGGCACTGAAAAGACATTTGTGCCAGTGGCTCATGCTGTGGGATTAAAGGAAACAATGTGAGTCCATATTCTCCTCAGACTTACAAAATACAATGACCACAAGCGGAATTTATGCGAGGACCTAAAAGTAATTGGATTAATATTTAGTCTGCAACTTAGTTACACAAAACACGTGCTTATTTTGTGGAATGGCGGGCTAGAAAAGACCTTATTCCTGACAAATTCAACATACAACATAAACCACAGATACATCTTCTAAAGATATTTCTTCCACCTTTGCATATAAAGTTGGGCTTAATGAAAAACCTTGTAAAGACGATGGACGGTGAAGGTTCAGAATTTATTGACTTTTGCAAAAAACTTGGAGAAATTTTAACTGACGCAAAACTTAAGGCCAGAGTATTTGTTGAACCATAAATTCATGAACTGTTAAACGACCAAGTCTTCCTACCAAAACTGGAGCTGACTGCATGTGAAACTTTCCAAGCAGGATGTCCAGAACTTTCAGAGAGAGCAGAGAGCGAACATGATGAGCCTATGGAACACTGGGTTCCTGCGAATCCACTTTCTTCATTCATACCTGGATTTTTTTTTCATTCACTCTTGCTGCTTGTACCAATGAGCATGGTGAAAGGTTTCACTGTGATGGAGGTACACTATCAAGGCCTTTTTAAACTCAACAGGTAGGCATAATGTTTGTCAGGAAACAGGACAAGTGTTTCCTAACTTGGTCGTAGTGCCACAGCGGGAGCTTTTAGTCATCTGACCGAGGACTTCCGCTGGCTTAGCGGTCCACCTCTTTAAAAATCATGGCTATGGTTATAACCATTAGGAATATATAGGTAGTCTCAGCATTATGGGTAACTAATTTTAGTCATAAATGTAAAGCCAAATACTTGAAACATTTTTGAACATTGTCAATTTCCCGTGAAATTATTTTTCGTAATGCCCTGAGCGCATTAGCTAACAGTCACCTTGTAATAGGAAATACATTTTAGCGATTCATTATATTCCTTGTGCTGTAGATTTGAATGGAACATGATTTATAAATAAACTATTCTTTGAATTCAATGTTTTCCAGTAGCTAAAAGTCCTGACGTACTACCTCAGTTTTGTCTTCACATTTAGAATTATCATCCTCATATTACTTAAGAACATCTACATATATCCAACGTAAGAAACACTGAACATTTTAATAAGTGCAATAGATATATTTGATACCGGGAATTTACATATCAGCTTTCAT